GTAAATCCTCCCTTGAAAGACTTTGCTGGATGTGAAGGAGCGGAATTCACAGCCAATGAATAAATGGGGGTTTTGTCGGGACAAGGAATTGGCTTCAGGCTCTTGGGAAGCCTTGGTCAGAACATAGGAATGTTATCGTAGAGGAATGAATGAGGACCTGCTTCTTCCTCCCGAGATCCTTCCTTCCGAGATCCTTCCTCAAGTCAACCATGGTTCTTCTGAGCTGAAGGGTGATCTCCTTTCCTTCTTTTGTCTCTCGTTTCAGATCCACCCATCTCCTTTTAAGCAAGATGTCCTACTATCCAAAGCAGTCCTGTTATGATCCATGTCGTCCCAGGAGTTTCTCCTCCGGAAGCAGCCTCCTCGGCTCCAAGCGTAGGACTCGCTGGAGCAGCGGGAGCTGCCTCGGCAGTTACGGCCGGGGTGTCCGCTACTACCCCTCTTGCGGTTACGGTTATGGCGGTTATCAAAGCCCAGCCTGCTACCAGCCCTTAAGTTACAACTGCGGTTATGGTTACGGTTATGGCAAAAAATACTGCCCACCCGTGTGGTATGGGGGCTACGGTTCCGGCGGTTACGACTACGGGTGTAGATACGGTGGTCTCCTCGGCCGTCGCCAGTCCATCTGCTACGACCCCTGTTATGGTCCTAAGTATCAATACGGTTCCAGGCGTGGCAGCTACTGTTGGCCTTGCTAAGCTCCGAAGGATCCATGAAGATGCTGAGTGACACCAGAAGCTCTCCATTGGTGGCTTCCCAAAAGGCCAAGTTCTCAGAACTTCCTGAAGGAACAGATGAGGGCTTGGCCCTTCTTGAAAGCCACTTCGTCGCCTGCTTATTATTATTATTTTTCTAACAACGTTCTTCTCCAGATCTTTGCCCTTCGAGGACTTGCTGAAGCACCTTTAAGGGTGCGTGTGAAAATGTTTTCGTCTCTTCGTTGATCGCCCACCTGGTTGGCCACATCCCGCCTTCGATGCTTATTTGTTATTTCTGCTCCTGGGTGAATCGAGGCGGGGCATAAAATAAAGCTTGCTTTGCATGACACTTTCGGTCTTCTTCTCGTTTTATGACGTGGTCCAGGTTTACGCTCCAGACTGCAAGGAGCAGAATAGCAGAGTTGGCAGGGACCTTGGAGGTCTTCTAGTCCAACCCCCTGTTCAAGCAGGAGACTCTAGACCGTTTCAAACAAATGTTTGTCCAATGTCTTCTTGAAATGGCCCAGTGATGGAGAAGGAAGAGAGGGAGAGAGGGAGGGAAGGAAAGAAGGAAAACAGAGCTGGAAGGGACCTTGGAGGTCTTCTAGTCCAACCCCCTGTTCAAGCAGGAGACTCTAGACCGTTTCAAACAAATGTTTGTCCAATGTCTTCTTGAAATGGCCCAGTGATGGAGAGGGAGAGAGGGAGGGAAGGAAAGAAGGAAAACAGAGCTGGAAGGGACCTTGGAGGTCTTCTAGTCCAACCCCCCTGCTCAAGCAGGAGACTCTACACCATTTCAAACAAATGTTTGTCCAATGTCTTCTTNTTTTCTTTTCTCCATTTCTCCTTCCTTTCTTCCTTCTCTCCCATTTCTCCTTCCTTCCTTCTCTCCCTTCCTTCCTGTTCTCCATCTCTCTCTTTCCTTGTTTTCCTTTCTCCGTTTCTTCCTTCCTTCCATTTCTCCCTGTCTTCTTCTTGCTTTCCTTTCCTTGCTTTCCTTCCTCCATTTCTCCTTCCTTCTCTCCATTTTTCCTTCCTTCTTTCTCTCCCTTCCTTCCTTCCCGTTCTCCATCTCTCTGTCCTTGTTTTCCTTCCTCCATTTCTCCTTCCTTCCTTCTCTCCATTTCTCCTTCCTTCTTTCTCTCCCTTCCTTCCTTCCTGTTCTTCATCTCTCCCTTTCCTTGTTTTCCTTCCTCCATTTCTCCTTCCTTCCTTCTCTCCATTTCTCCTTCCTTCTTTCTCTCCCTTCCTTCCTTCCTGTTCTTCATCTCTCCCTTTCCTTGTTTTCCTTCCTCCATTTCTCCTTCCTTCCTTCCTGTTCTCCATTTCTCCTTCCTTCCTTCTCTCCCTTCCTTCCTTTCTGTTCTCCATCTCTCTTTCCTTGTTTTCTTTTCTCCATTTCTCCTTCCTTTCTTCCTTCTCTCCCATTTCTCCTTCCTTCCTTCTCTCCCTTCCTTCCTGTTCTCCATCTCTCTCTTTCCTTGTTTTCCTTTCTCCATTCCTCCTTCCTTTCTTCCTGTTCTCTCTCTTGCTCTTTCCTTTCCTTGTTTTCCTTCCTCCATTTCTCCTTGCTTCCTTCTCTCCATTTCTCCTTCCTTCCTTCCTGTTCTCCATTTCCTTTTTGCTTTCCTTTTTTTCCTTCCTTCGTTTCTCCTTCCTTCTCTCCCTGCCTCCTTCCTTCCTTCTTCACCTTCATTTCTCTCTCTCTCGTGAAGTCCTGCATGCTCATTTTCCTTCACACCACATAAACAATTAGAGGCTGTGCCAGCCAGGTAAGAATTTGGTTTTTTTTAAAAAAGGTATCTGTAAGCCTGTAGAGCAGGCTGGCTGGGGGATTCTGGGAATTGAAGTCCCTCTTTAAAAACAGGGTGGCTGGGGGATTCTGGGAATTGAAGTCCTTAAAACAGGCCGGCTAGGGGATTCTGGGACTTGAAGTCCCTCTTTAAAAACAGGGTGGCTGGGGGATTCTGGGAAATGAAGTCCACCCATCTTAAAAGCTCTCAAGGTTAAGGAACAGGGTCCCTCTTTTTCCAGGTTGCGCTTCCGAGCAATGAAGATTTTACGACCTCCGGTGTCCGTCGGCCATTATAAAATGGTGAAACACCAGGGCGACCAAGGCAATGAGCAGAACCCACACAGGTCAGTATAAAGGTGTGTGTGTGTGTGTGTAAAATACTGTCATGTTGCACCAGGCACAACAGTGTGCAGGCTGCGGAAAAGTTTGAACAAACGAAAGCTTTGGAGGTTTCGTCCAAAATCGCACGGGGGTTTTGTTTTGAGCAGGGGGCTGGACTAGAAGACCTCCACGGTCCCTTCCAACTCTGTTATTTGGCTGATGAACCCTGCCCACCGCGCTGGTTAACCACATGGAAGGGGGAAAGGGTTGTTACGCAAAATCCAGAATCAGCTCGATTGTTTGCTCATTATCTCAGTTGCAATAGATTCAATAAACCACGACCAACGCCCTTCTCCGCTGAGTTCCGGTGTGGGAATCCCCGTCAGAGAAGATCTGATTTAAGCCCGAGCAAGATTTTTTCAGAAAGATTTTGGCTTTTCGGATACGAACCGTGGTGGGATCCTACCGGTTTAACCACCAGTCTGGTGATTGCGCACATCGCCTGTTCGCACGCTTGACGCACATATGCGCAATTTTGAGAACACTGACCGTATTTTTCGGAGTATAAGACGCACCTTATCCCCTCAAAAAAGAGGCTGAAAATCTGGGTGCGTCTTATACACTGAACACAGCATTTTTTTGCCTCTGAAACTCCGCCCCTTCACCAAAATGGCCATGCATTGCCTTTAGGAGGCTTCCAGAGTGCTCCTGGGGGCTGGGGAGGGCAGAAATGAGCGAAACATGGGCCGTTTTTTGCTCAATTTTGCCCCACCCCTACCCTCAGGAGCACTCTATAAGCCTCCTGAAGGCTGTCCATGCTCTTTTTAAAAAAAGAAAAGAAAAAAGAGCCTTTTTTTGCGAAAAACAGGCCGTTTTTGGGGAGATTTGCAGAGCAAAAACTTTTTAAATTGGCCTCTTCAAAACCTTGGCGCATCTTATACTCCGGTGCGTCTTATACTCCCAAAAATACGGTACCTTCCGCATTACTGCTGGGGTGGAAAACAGCTGGGCACGGGAATCTATTCTGCTGCGTGACTCAACGAAGAAGATAAAAGTCAGTAATGTGCAGGGCAGGGTGGGGCCACTTAATCGTCGGAGCAAACTGGTTCGCTCCCAGTTGATCATCGGAGCTACGAGCTGGCCCGAAATGGTCCAAATCGGTAGAATCTCACTCTCCGTCTCTGTCTTCCCAGGTTTGATCTGCTGATTCGGACGTACCGTTCCTGGAGCCAAGATGGCATGAATTCTCTCTCCTACAAGCTCCTCTCCAAAGAGCTGCTACCACTTTACACCAACATCACCGCCGATATTGGCACCAACCCTCGGGCCACCAAGATCGGAAAGGGCTCCCTGTCTGACTTTGGCAGGGGGGATTATCCGCGAGACAGCAATCACGATTTCCGTCAGGAGATGCTGCGCAAGACTCCTTTCGCCAAGCTCTCCCAAGCCATGGGATGGAAGGATCCCTCTCCAGAGACAGATAAAAAGGGGGAGATGCCTACCCCGATCTCAGAAAACCCCACACCGAGCACCAGAGCCGAAAAGAGGGAGAAAGGCTCCGCGGCTTCGACCTACAACGAGGTAGACGCTACCCTCGAAACATTGAGTGACGCCGTCCCCAGCCCGGAAGTCCCCAAACGAGTTTTCGAGGATACAGTCCAACCCGTACGAGTAGGTTTATCTTCGCCGCGACTTTCGTCCGGACACGCTGCACAGAGCATAGCTCTCCGACCCAACTCTACAAATCGCACCGATTCTAGAACCGCAGATTAAAAGAACGAGATGACACCCAGAGCGTCAACGCGAGGTCGAAATTTAGAATCATTCTCTCATCCCTGCTCGGGAGTTTGGGGAGGATCCGTCGGTTTCCCCCCCAGGCCAACGGAGCAGAAGGGCCAGACGGAGGTAGAGCGGACAAATAAAAGGGGGCAGGTGAACGGGGTAGGTAGGACGGCGCCGGGAATCCTTCGAGAATTTGGTTCCCGTATCCGCGGGCGCCGGTTGATTCTTCCTTCCCGGATGCAAGGAATCTACCAAGGGCCCGTATTTCTAACAGGTGCTTCGTAGGACTGAATTCACGCTCGGAGGCGGCTGGAAGTACAGGAGGGATTGGCGTGGGGAAAACGGGGCCTCTTCTCGTGTCCGAGATTTCTGCGGATGGATTGTGGGAGGGGAGGAACTCTGCAGCTTTGGTGGAAAGAGTGCTCCGATCAAAGCCCTCCGGCCCCCACTGTCCGCTTTGCACCTTCTTAAAAAAAGGGGGGGAAGGGCTGAGCCTTGCTACCCACCCACCCCCTTCCCCAGCGCCAGGAAAGTATAACTCGCTTCGCTGGACTTCTCAACTTTTGTGAAATAGAATTTGAGATGGGACAGGATCTTCTCTCACCCTAGCTGTGCTCCCCCCCCCTTTTCACACAAGCGATCCAGCCAGGATCAAGGAACTGGGAGGGAGGGGGGGGGAGATTTTCTAATGGAAAGACCCTCCTGGGGCAATCAGGGTCTTTTCGGGGGCAGGAAAATCTCCCCTCCTGGATCGAAGGCGAAACAGCTGGGAAGCTGTAGCTATTTTTGCTCTCCTCATAGCTGTTTGCTCGTACAATCTTTGCTGCTAGCCCTCCTTCTCCTCCTCCTCCTCTTCATCTTTTTTACTTCTCCATCTCTATCTTTTTTCTCATTTTTTCATTGTCGTCTTCTCTTCCTCCTTTTTCTCCATCTCATTTTTCTCTCCTTTTTTCCGTTTTCTCATTTTTTCTTGTTCATCCCTTCTCCCTTTTTCTTTTCTCCTCTTCCTCCTCCTCTTCTCCATTTCTTCTTTCTCCTCCTCCTTTCTCCATCTGCTTCCCTTTTTTATCTCTTCTCCATCTTTTTCTCTTCTTTTTTTCTTCATTTCTTCTCTGCCATATTTTCCTTTTTTCTTCTTTCCCCTTCTCTCCTGCTCCTCCTTTTCTTCTTTTTTCCATCTCTTTTATTTTATCCACCTCTTCCTTTTTCTTCTTCATCTCTTCCCTGCCATATTTTTTTTCCTTTTTCTTCTTTCCCGTTATCTCCTGCTCCTTTTTTTCCCCCCATCTCTTTTATTTTATACTCCTCTTCCTTCTTCTTCTTCTCTGACATATTTCCCCCCCCCTTTTTTTCCCCTTCCTCCTTTCCATCCTTCCGGGGAGGAAACTCCCTTTTAAATTTTAAACGCTTTCAAGAAGCTGCGGAAGTCGGCTCGGAAAGTCTCCGTCGGTCGAAATCCTTTTAAGAATACTATTCGAGCGAAAGCTTTTTAAGAGTTGGTCTCACTGGTTTGTTCCAGAGGTTTGGAGGGAGGAGTCCCGTCTCCCCCTACCCCATCCCGGACAGATGTTTATTACTATTTTAGCGGCTGGACTGTTTTCTGGTTCCCTGCCCCCATCCACCCACCCAGGAAAAGAAAAATCAGAATCACCACGAACAATCGTCCACTGTTTACCCCACCCATCTTCCCTAATATATACATATATATATATTCCTCCCCTCTGCTCCAGGGCTGGTCCCAGCCTGTACCTTTCATTTCCCCACCGATGCGCACCTCACAATCACTAGATACTGCCAATGATGTGACATTTTATTTATTCTATTTATGTAGCCGTCGGTCCCCTTTTTCGCGGTAGTGGTGCCCTTCTCCCCTCGTTTTTTTGATATATATATTTGATTTTTTTTTTTTACAAAAATAAATATTCCCTCACCCAACGAAAAGAATGAACTGTCCTTTTCTCTACGAACAACTGGCCAAGTTAACCCAAGGGTGAACAACCATGGTTTGGTTTTATTTTAAACTAGTGTTTAAAAACCCCTAGCGTTGCCCGGATATTTTAGGGGAGGGGGTGGGGGAGAATGTCCGGACCGAACGTAATTTCTAATGTTGGATTTTCCCCCTTACCAAAGGGGAGAGCCCCCTTGTGGAGTACTGCGAAGCCGTTACCATGGCTCCTCCACTGTAGGAGCCATTTAACGGCAGTACGGTAGAAGCCGTTTTAAGGCACAACAGGCTGTATCTTAACAGAACACGCACCCTGAGGGGTGTTAGGGGTGTCTTACCCCCACAGTATTTGTATCCAGCGAGTAAGTCATCTGTGTTCCAAGTTTGGCTGAAATTGCCCCAGGCGGTCCAGAGTTATGTTGGAACACACAGACAAAGACGCACAAATAGAGCCATTTTTATACACATATAGATATAACGCAAACCGAGTTAGGTCTCGTCAACTTGGCTTGGCAAATGCTCTAATTGCCCCCCCCCCAAAAAAAGGGGGGGGTGTCAGCCTATTCTCCAAAGCACCAGAAGGCAGGATGAGAAGTAACGGATGGGAAATCACCAAGGAGGGAAGCAACCGGGAACCTCAGGAGGAATTTATTGAAAGTTAGAACAATTAACCCGTGGAACAGCTTGACACTAGAAATTGTGGGTGCTCCATCCCTGGAGGTTTTTAAAGAAGAGATTGGATAATAATTTGCCCGGAATCTTATAGGGTTTCCTGCTTGAGCAGGGGGTTGGACTAGAAGGCCTCCAAGGTCCCTTCCAGCTCTCTTATTCTGTTATTCAACTCTTTCCTCAAAAAGTCCTCAAGAGAGGGTGGATCCCAGGAATCCAGAACTCGGCTCGTGCTCAGGAGATGCCGCCCGCGAGGTGAGCCACCGCTGTCTGGGCGCTGAAGATGCAATCGTTGACGGAGACCCCAGCATAAGAAGCGCCCACCAGGCTAAGGGGCAGATTGTGTTGCTTCAATTGGGAAGTAGCACTTTCTGGAAAGGAAAAGGAAAGAGGAGAAAGGAAAGGGGGAAGAGGGGAAGGGAAGTAAGATAAACGAAAGAGGGAAGGGGAGGAAAGCAGAGGAAAGAAAAGATGAGAAAGGAAAGGAAGAAGGAAGGGAAGAAAGAAAGGGAAGAGGAAAGGAAAATGGAGGGAAGGAAGACGGGAAAGGAAAGAGGAGGAAGGAGAGGAAGAGGGAGGGAAGGAAGATAGAGGAAAGGAGAGATGAGAAAGCAAAGGTGGAATAGTGAAAGGAGAAAGGAAAAAGGGAAGGAAAAGAAAGGAAAGGAGGAAGGGAAGAAAGGAAAGGGAAGAGGGAAGGAAAACAGGAAAGGAAAGAGGAGGAAGGAGAGGAAGAGGGAAGGAAGGAAGATAGAGGAAAGATGAGAAAGGAAAGGGGGAAGAGTGAAAGAAAGGAAAAAGGGAAGGAAGAGAAAGGAAAGGAGGAAGGGAAGAAAGGAAAGGGAAGAGGGAAGGAAAGAGGAAGGAGAGGAAGAGGGAAGGAAGGAAGATAGAGGAAAGATGAGAAAGGAAAGGGGGAAGAGTGAAAGAAAGGAAAAAGGGAAGGAAGAGAAAGGAAAGGAGGAAGGGAAGAAAGGAAAGGGAAGACAGGAAAGGAAAGAGGAAGGAGAGGAAGAGGGAAGGAAGGAAGATAGAGGAAAGATGAGAAAGGAAAGGAGGAAGAGTGAAAGGAGAAAGGAAAAAGGGAAGGAAGAGAAAGGAAAGGAGGAAGGGAAGAAAGGAAAGGGAAGACAGGAAAGGAAAGAGGAAGGAGAGGAAGAGGGAAGGAAGGAAGATAGAGGAAAGATGAGAAAGGAAAGGAGGAAGAGTGAAAGGAGAAAGGAAAAAGGGAAGGAAGAGAAAGGAAAGGAGGAAGGGAAGAAAGGAAAGGGAAGACAGGAAAGGAAAGAGGAAGGAGAGGAAGAGGG